CGTTTCCCGCCTTTCCCGCCTTTCCCGGTCTCTCAAGAGGAGAGCGGGACGCCTGGGCGGAGGGCGAGGCGTGTGTGTAGGGGAACGACCCTGTCGGGAGCGGGGGGCTGAGGGGCAGTGGTAGAGTCTGCGGTGAGGGGGGCTTCCCCCCGGGCCTGGCGGGGCGGGCAGGCGGCCCTTCGTGTCCCGCCGGCTTGGCCCGGGCGGGCAGCAGCCCTCAGACACCTCCTCCCCTGCACCCCTGTTGGGATCTGGCCTGAGGTGGGGGCTGTGTGCCGCTTTTCCGGTCGCCTCTGAGAGAAAGTGTTACGGAGTTAAATTTTTTATTCCCCTTTTGCCTTTACCATCTACTTTGGTGCAAGTTGCACTCTGCAGGTGGGACTCAAACTGTGCCCGAAAGCCACTTAAGATGCGTGCTGTAAGAAAGTACTTTTTCTGCTCACTTCTAAGAAAAAAAAAAATCCTCAGTTGTGTAGAATGAGGTTAGTTGTGAGCAAGGAGTGTCCCAGGTGTTAAGAATACATCCTGGGCTCGGACCAACGTAGGGCAGTGTGAGTTGGATGATGACTGTTGGCCTTCACTTTGCTCATCCAGTGTTTCTCTTAGAGCCGTTGGGGTTTGTTGCAGAAGCTCAGGGCTATGGCGTGTCATTGCAAGGTTGTAGAGTGATAGATGCTTCCAAATTTAAGGTAAGGGGAAATACGGCCCAACCGAGGTTTAAATTATCAGGAAAGTAACTTTCCAGAGGTGATGACCTGCCGTGTTTTTACCTATACAGACAAAATATGTGAAGCCTCTGGCTAGGTAAATCCAAGCAAAGCATGTAGTAAATATCTGACAGTTAAAATAAGGTTGCTTTCCTAATGCAATAAACTTAGGATGGAACTTTTTGGAATGCTTTTGTGTCAAAGTTTGCAACTTTCCTGCCTGGCAGTAGAGAGCATGCGTACAGTATTATAGAAGGTCTCAGTTTTGTTAAGAGATGCAGGTATCTTATAAATAAAGCTTTATTAGCACCTAGGTTAAACTTTCAATTTTTTTTTTTTGGTAATGTAAGGTAGAAATTTACTGAACTCATGCAGCCTTCTACTAGTAGGTTACAGACTTTGTTTTGGAGATTTTTGGACAGAGGGAAAAAAATCATCAGTTCTCCATGAAGTTAAAAGACAAATTACACAGCTATCTCGTCTGATGTTTCCAGGGTTTTGAGTATTACTTCAGGGTTATAGTCTGGAGAATTCTTACCTCTGGCTGTGCTTGAAATATTTGGTATTACAAGATGTAATGCAAGATGAAAACCATGTATTTAGTAAGCGTGCAACACTTATAGCACCATTTTAAATATGGTTGCAGTATTTGATTTGTCCACTCCTGTTTTAACTAGAAATATGGAAAAATTGGCAACTAAAGTGCTACTGTTCAGAGCAATTGTCTCATTATATTTGGCAAAACAGAGGGGAACAATTTGAAAGTAAAGTCACTGCTCTGGTTGTGCTCAGATTTGGTTAGTGGTTTAGCGTTAGCATCTCTGGGATGTCGTTACACTGTTACAAGTCCTGGCAATGAAAAGGAAAAGGTGGTCCTTATGAAAAGAAAACCATTGTTGCTTGTATGTGTTTGGTAGATAACATTAAAAATTCTGAAACAAGTTAAAAGTAAGAGATTCTCACTTTTTGCTGACATGACAGCCCATCATGTCAGCAAAACTGCCCATCTTGGACTGTGTAATGCTTTACTTACAGCACTTCCACTTTGTTTTTTAAACAAAGCTATTGTTTTAAATGTGTTTTTTAAAGTAATTCCCTGCATCTACTGTTTTTCTAGGTTGACCAACTCCAAAAAAAAATGTTATCTCAGTGTCTGTGCCAAGTTTACAAATGTTTGTTTCTGGGCAACTTAAAACTGAATTCAGTAAATGTGGCTACATTGTCCAGAAGGATCCATTCTTCAGCAAAAAAGCTTTCTGACTGTGAGTTAAAGGAACAAACCGCCCAGAAACGTGAAACTGAAGAGTTTGCTCAAAGTACAGAAAACAGTAATTTTGGGAGATTGCACATACCAGTGATGCTGGAGGAGGTTGTTAATTGTTTATCCCCCCAACCAGGCCAGGTGAGTTAAATGATTAATTAACATTGGTGATCAAGCAGCTCTCCAGCAGAGAATTTTGTGCAGTGCAGGGATAACTTTTGTTTAGAGGAATAAAGCGATGCGCTTTAACAATCTGTTGCACCTTTTAAAGGTTCTGAATTGTTTTGCAATTCAAATTAAGGCTCTGTATTCACAGTGTTAAAAATCAGGTATCTGTCTGCCGGAATCCCCAAATAAGAAGTATTTGTTAAAACTGTGGTAATTATTTGAGTAATCTCTTGCTTTTGTGCTTGTCTTTCTGGATTGCTCTTGTGTATTTCTAGGGTCGTGTTAATTACTAACAGTAGCAGGGAGTTCTCGTGTATGATTATGTCATCAATTTGTAAGAGCTCTCTTCCTTTTGTGTAAGAGTTAGTAAATACGCAGGTTTTAAAACTCATCATCATCATACCTTGTTCTGAGATAGGTATTTCAATGGTTTCGCTTATTTTGATGCATAGTATTTCCTTAGGATATGCTTACACTGCATACTGTGGTGCACTGTAGAGGGTACTATAGTTATAAAATGACTGTGTATGGTACCAGAATTGGTTTAGCGTCAATAACGTGGAAATATTACAAGTCATCTTACTTGGCTGTGGTACTGTGAGTAGATTCCTTTTGGTATCTGGGTTAGCTCAGGTCTCTCTACACTGAAGTGTAGATATATCTACACTGTACTGGTGTATGCAGTGTAAGTATACTGTTACACACGCCCTTTACAAAAATGATGTACAGTGAAATAATTTTCACCTGAGGAATCTTAAATTCAATATTGAAGTCAAAAGGATTTCTTATGCAACTTAAATGCTTAAAAGATTTTCACATTTCAGATCATTTCATCTGTCATTTTGGTGGTTTTTATGTTGGCTTCATAGAGTCTTATTTATTCGGGCTTATCAATGTGTAGTTTTACTACAAAGACTGAAATGATACATAAAGAAGTGGAAAGTTCAAAGTGTGTGTATTTTTGTTTAATTTTACTTGAAAAGAGCATTGTCCAACAGTGGCATGGGAATATAGAAAGTTTGAGGTAGATTCAGAAATCAAAAAACTGCAGTCAAATCTTGTTGCATTGCCCTGTGAGAAATTCTTTAGTTTGGAAGATAATGTATTAAGTGGTTTGAAAACCAGAAAGAATCTGAATAACGTAATTATTTTACCATACACATTGCTCTTGCAATCTTACTGTTGAAGATACCTAAACTAGTGAAATACATAAGGAACTTTGAGTTCAGATTTCATTCACATGTCAGAACTGTAACGATAAATTGAATGAACATATAAATTGTGACACTGTGTGTGAAGTATATTTTCCAGTTGTGTAATTTTCTACTTAAATAAGAATTAAGAGGAGGCTGGTGAAGTGATTGTTTATTAAACTATGTTTGTTGATATAAAAAAACCTTATTTGGCAAAGGAACTTGCAAAAGAAGCTCTATTTTTGGTTAAAACTGTGGAGAGTAACTACTGTTGTCCCTGAAGGCTTTTTGATAATTTAAATATTTATGAATGTAAAATACCTTATCATTGGGGTGGGATTTTTTTCAGATCTGTGTATACATGGTTTCGCAGATCCCTAAGTGATTGGTGAACCACTAATGACAGATGGAAGAGAACACAAGTGTGTTGCCTTGAACAGAAGCATTTATAATATGGTTAACCCGTTAGCATAACTGAAAATGAAAACAGCGCTTCCATTTTTATTTTTTTAAGGACATAGTAAATCATATATTTGCAGCACTTCCTGAAGCCTGAAGTTTTGAAAATAAGTAGTGTGCAAAAGGATGCAGTGTGTCAACGGAGTTTTGCTAGAGTAAGCATCAGTGAAATTTTAAACAAAGACTGGGAATGTTTTTCACCGACATCAATGGTGGTACAGTTTCTGTTAAGATGGATATAGAACTGGGACTGTTGTATCAGTTTACATTTTTAAGGTTACAGTCATGCCTAGGAAGTCCATGAACACTTTATTTTGTGAGCAGGGATGATAATGTTCTGATCTTGGATTTTGTTTTTCTGCTTTCTTCTCTCCTACGCACACAAAACTTTCCTTTACTTGGTTTTGACACAGTTACATTCTTTGTTATAAAAAAGCTGATTTGGGCCTCTCTTTCTTGTTGCGCCCTAAGCCAAGGAGTTGCCAATATAAAGAAAATCCAATTAGAAAGACAACATTTTCCCTGTGGTTTTGGTCAGTGAATCGGGTTTTCATTTCACTTACAGGGTTCCTAAGAAAATAAATGTTACTTAAGTCAATCACAGCTGAGATGAAGATGTTAGTACCCTCCTATTGAATATTCTTGTTGACTTTCTCCTTTGTGGAATCTGTTTGTCAGGGGTTTAAACAATAGTATTTCCACTTATCTTTGAATCTTCTTTTATTGTCTTAGAGCTTGTTCCTACAAAGTCCCTGTAGTAGTCCTGTCTTTGAAGCACATTGTACAAATTAGTTTTTACCGATCTACCTTACTTCTCAATGAAAAGTCTGTTGCAGTAAATCCACACACAAGTAATTTCCTCTTTAAGTTCACTGTATTGACTAAACTACATTTTAGTCTTCAGTCCACTAGTGTTCTTTACGCGTACTTGGCCAGTGTTTCTGCAGTTGTCTGGGCAGCTTGAGTTTCCTCTGTACTCTTAAACTTTAAGGGAAGCGAAGAACCAAGTAAATTTTCAGAATGAATGTCTTTGGACATCCAGAAGCATGTTTTCCCAATGTTTACCCTATTATTTCCTATTTTTTCCTTTGCAATAGTCACTTGCCTTTTAACTAGAGGTGTTGATCTCTTCCACATCGTACAGCTATAATGATATGAAAAAGAATTTCTGTAGCAGTGAGTTCTAGTATGAATGCCAGAGGATGAGACTTTGAGTTTGTCCTGGTTTGAGCAACACAGGACTAATTTCTCTTCTAATGCTTGGGAAAACTGCACTTTGAGAAGACTCTATAGTGTCTGAATTTGTGAAAATATTTGCTTTACAGCCAGCTATGGTATGCGAGTTTCAAACTCTCAGTGTTTTTGAGCTCGCCAGGTGCGGGGATGAGGAGTGAGACCTGGGCGCTTGACCCAGGCTGGCCAACAGGATTATTTCATACCATGAAAGTCACATTCAATATAAATTAGAAAGTTCATGGAGGATTTCTCTCTCTTCTATGATGGCTGCAATCCTGAGACCTTCTTGCCCTGATGGGCCTCTGAGCTCTTCCCTTCCTCCCGAAGCTGTAGACGCTCGCGGTGTCTGACTTTTGCTGTCCACTGCTGGGAGTGCACACCTTCCTACTGATACAATGGGCTGAGTATAATACTTGTATATTTTATATTGCTATTGGGATAAATATTGGTTCTTCCATATTACTGTTAATTATTTTTTCTTATTCTATTAAATATGTTAATATTTCAGCCCTCATGTTTCCGTGTTTTTTCCTGATACTTCTTCCCAGGTGGGGAGAGGTCATCTGGTGATAGAATAATTGTCTAAATCACAATAAACTGTTGTGGGTTCCTCAAACCATAACAGAACTTTTAATTATTCTTATGCGGGTCTTATAACAAAGGTTTTTTTACAGGTTGCAAAGCTCTAGGGAACTATTTTGATAGTCATCCAGCACAAACAACACATTTCTGTGTATAATATTTGAACTCCAACCAGAACAAAAAGAAATATACCCTACTCAGATTTTATGGGGAGGACTATAATCTGATGACATCTATGTTTTGTGTTAAATATCATTTAGAATGTGCTAAAATGGAGATACCGTAAGCTCTAGGAGTATTATTTTGTTTACGATAGTTCTGGAAGCTTTTTTTCATACTTGTAAATTAAATGGTGGGTGCTCAAATTTGAAGTGATAAAGAATGAATGAGACTTCCCTTTTCTCCAGTGTTTAAGCGATTCGTCAGAAACAGAGTTAATATCAAATGATCTTTTTATCTCATTATGTTAATTTGTGTGTAAAAATGAAAACTAAGGCTGTCAATTTTCCCCAAACAGATCTTGTCTGGTATCTTCTTGAGTTAGCTGGGACTTCTTGTGGAGGTGTCCTCTTTGATTCTTCATAAAATTATTCAACTTGTTTTTACTACCCAGCTTTCATTGAAGGAGGTATCTTTTTTGTCTTGGAAATAATGTGTGATATGTAGCTCCTAGAAAGAGACAGGTATTTCTTAAAAACATCCAGCTTTGCCGTGAGCTTTCAGTCTTTCAGGAAGATACTGTGGTGTTCTCAGGATAGCTACTGTTTTCATGCATCCAAATGTCAAATTATTCTTTTTCAGCTGAGAAAGGGTATGAGCATGGCTTTCCAAAATAACAAGAGGAAGCATAAGACATCGATGACAGTCAAACATTGGTCTTTTGTTACTGAAGTGCTGCTTGAGCTCTGCAATTAGTTTGAAGGCAGTAGCCTTCCACCTCTTGAAGTTCTGTTGCCAGTGGTGGATGTTGTTGATCTGGAGCATAGTTGTTTCCATCCCGTTCCACAGAGCTAGTTAGTCAAGTAATAGATGACACTCAAAGGAAGCTGAGGTAGACTGCTCATGTGCAAAAGCGGAGTCTATTGTTCTGACATTGTTGTCTTAGTTTCTTTATATCCTTGTCCATATGTCAGTATTCCTTTTCTTTTTCTGCCTTATACTGAGTGTAAGCTCTTAAGGACAAAAATAACCTTTCTTTGTACAGCACCCTGCAGAGTAGACTTCTGTTTTGGGAGAAGGGTTTCCAAGTATCATGGTATATAAATAGTTACGTGGCTATGCTGGTGACCAGTGTACTTACCGTAGTGCTTCCAAAGCCATCTGCAAATAATTTATAACTGGAACCAACCCATTTACACTGAAGGCTCTCAAAATGGAAGTTTTCTGCAGGGTGCCCAAGATAAACAGGAATTGAAAAGGGACCTGGAAAAATTAATTCTGATTTCTCAAGTTTTATGAGGTATTTTGTAGAATGCAACCAGAATACCAAGTTTGGCATGGAAT